TGTTTTCTAAACAAGAGATGTGTATATTTTGTATATGCCTGGCCCAGGTTCTTAGTGCCCAAATATTCACAATTGAAAAATATAATAGTTAACCAGTAAAGAACAATTAACTGTGGGTGATGTTTGCTGTGCCACTCTATAAACTGGTGACTCCCAAAGAATTGGAAACTACAGAGCTGAGAAACTGTACTGAAGGGTGCTAGGGAACATTTTCCTGGTGGGATTCCTTTGAGGTGCAGCTTACCATTCCTCAGTTTATCACTATCGAATCCCCAGGAAACAAGCAAACTTTCAAAGAGGGTTACATATCACCTAGACGACAGTGGTTGGCAACTGCTGTGACTTCCAATATTTTCACTCATTCAACACGTGTTTTTTCAAGGCAATGGGGACAGTCATGTATGTGGCAATTATGTAGAAAATATGAAATTTTATCTTCTAAAAAATAAAAAGTAAAACCGGATCTCTGAAAATACACTTATTATCAAGTAAAGAAAATTCAGTTCATTTCATCCAATAAAATGCCAAAAATGGATTTTTATTTTCAGTTAGTCCATAAAGGAGTAGAGAGACATAGGAAATGAAATTCTAAAAAGAAAATGTTGTAAAGGTTTAATATCAGGTTCAATGTGTTAACCATTCTCATGATTTATTTCTTCCACCTTCAGTTAACCCACAAAAAGATGATGATACAGTAATATCAGAAACAATTGGGGGTTTCATTATTTTACAAAGGCAGTGGGCTCACTGAACAGATATCTTATCAACTTCCAAAAACAGTTGAAAAGATCTGACTCTTACAGGGGCTTGGGTTGTGGCTCAGTGGTAGAGCACTTGCCTTTCACATGTGAGGCACTGGATTTGATCCTCAGCACCACATAAAAATAAATAAATGAAATAAAGATATTGTGTCCATCTACAACTAATTTTTTTTTGTTTTGATTCATGTTTCTGAAACTACTGAGATTTCAGATATTCTATATGACCTCCAGACTCTGTGTTCCAAGATTTAGTTTAGGTTCTTGTTCTAAAACTCTTCCTGATCTTTAAAACTGAAAATTCAGAGACCAAAATGGTTCAACCAGAGGCCAAATGCCCTAGGAAATTTCAAATATATGTGTTTGTAGAGCAAGCAGAACTGTCTTTAATAGGGAACTTCCATTTGGCTTCAACGAGTAAGAACATGCTAAATCTGAAAATATATGAAGGAAATATGCATAAGAATGTACATGCACACAAATATGTATGAAAAAACATGTATTCTGTGGCTGAGAAGTAAAAATCCCTTCACTAACTTATTGTGTACCTATTGCATTGAGAGATGAGTCATATACTTTTTTTTCAATGCATTATTCTAACTATATAAGGAATAAGTAAGCACTAGTACAGAGAATTATGTAACAAATTCCCACCAAGTATTTGGACAGTTATACAGGAATACAGAAAAGAGTAAAATCTGAGAATTACTTAGAAAACAAAGTCACATTATGTGGACAGGGAAAGTATGGGCCTGGATTCTATTGGTGGTCTTTGTTGGAAAGTAGTGGGGAATTCCCCCACATAGACAGGTAGAGTGAGCTCCCTAGTAGAACATCTTAAGGACCATATGTGAGTCAGGGGTGTTGCCCCAGAAGCTGGGAGGAGCTGGTATATGATTAGAGGACCATGAGATTGAGATGCCAAAAAAAAAAAAAAAAAAAAGCAAGTCCACATCTGACTATAAGATTGATTATTTCTAAAGCCATGCTTGTAGTTCAAAGGAAAATTAGCTCCACCTCCTCCATGTTGTATTTAACCCCAGCTTTGTGGTTTTTCACTAGAAAACACCTCCACTTCCTTGAGTGTGCAGCCCTCATTAATTATGTAAGGAATGTTTGTTTAAAACTAATAATATAAAGTTTATTTAACTGAAACTTCCCTAAATTCTCTACCATCCTTCCTCAAGACTGACCAGGCCAAGAAAGGAATAACAAAGATATCTTCATGATTTGTAAGGTCATCATGAACTTGTGACTACTTGTAAAATCAACAGACTGCCAACCACCAGATTTTACAACTTCCCCTTCAAGGCTACCAGAAAAGGCCTAGGCATCTGCAGCCATCAATCACTTTCTATTTTAAATTACCCTTCTGAAGATGAAAGGAGCCTGAAATGCAAGCTGAGTTAGGACACCAGTTCACCATCTTCATGGATTGGCTGGTTTATGGAATCAACCTTCTTCCTTGCTCCAACTGTTATGGTCTGATTTAAAAATGCTGATATCAGTTAATCAATAATTAATGTTATATATTATAGATTAAAAATATAGATCAATAAAATAGCAAGTATAGCCATATTGACTCCATCTTTATGGTTCCCATATGAAACTATCATATGAACTGTTTCTGAGAAACGAAAATGAAAGCTTTCTTCTGCTGCAAGTTATTTTTCTGAACTGTGTACCTCACAAAATGTGCTCAACCTAGGATATGGTGGTCTTGGTGGTCTGCATGGCTTTGAAGTAGACTCTCACCCCTGCTAAACACCTGCTTGAACCCAGGATGTGGTTGTCTGAGTTGTTTTGCTAACTGATTTTTCAGCTTCTGGAGTCTGCTTGCTTGCTACCTGGAAAATTCTATAAGATGTGGTTTTCTTCCTTAAATATTGGAACACAGATAGCTTGGCACGCTTCTGTCAGAAGGCCATTTGGGCATGGCAGAAGCATCCCTGGTCAGATAATAGAGCTCTCTAATTTGTTTTAAATTTGGACTTGGAGTGTTTTCTGAGTGTCTCCGTGCAACACAACAACTGGTTCTTGATTCACTAAGCACCTTTCAAGCAGTGAGTAAAAGGACTTGGATTTGTAACATTTCCTCATTTCCACAGATTAAATACTGTGACTATTTAAATTAACCCCATTTACCTTACCAATATTTGGACAGCACCTTTCCCAAAGATCTTTTCATCAGATCACTTTGAAAACATTTAGCTTTTTAATATAAAAAGAGATTATTTTTGTCTCTTCAAGTTTTCCTATTTGTTTACCAATTCTTCACTTCAATTTGGAATCTTTCCTCCACCCTTTTTTCCCCACTGGAAATTTAATTTGTAGTCCTTACATGTTTTGGGCTATGCTTTTTCTATCTTTTCTTCTACAATGCAAATTTTATTTTATTTTTTATGGACATCCTAAACATATTCCTATCTCCTCTTGGTAGATCTTCCTTCCCAAATTTAAAATAAATGTGTGTGTGTGTGTGTGTGTGTGTGTGTGTGACACACACACATATATACACACACACACACACACACACACTTAAATGTGTATTTTTGCTTAAGTGGTGACTATTCCTTTATTTCTGAGAGTAGAAGCCAGAAGCATTTTAGTTTTTCCAAGTCTAGTTACATAATACAATAAAAAATATTCCAAACTCTATTTCCCAACTTGCCATACTTCTTTGAATTTTAGGTTTTTTTCACTTAATCTTCCCTGTTCAGCAAGTTCTTTAACTTTTCTACTGACTGCATTTATAACAGCCATAGATGTCAAACCCAAAGTCAAAACTCATGATCTGAAAATTGGACAAAATATTTGGAATCACAGGTTCTTGAGGTATGTGGGTTTTGGCCCAAATTTCACCCCCACTCTTTTGCCTTAAATCTCTTTCTTTGCTTGAGAGGTCACATAATCTCCTCATGGGGAAATTGAACTAAAAGTTGTAGGTGCTTGACAATCTGTTTTGCTGCATCGCATTTGCTGGATACAGCTTTTGTGGTGGTGGAGGGGAGGAGAAAGGTTTGCCTTTGTGTCTAATTGCTGCAGAGAAACCTTATGAACAGAGACACACCCACTTGAAAACAAAACTCTCCTGGAAGTGGGAGGAAACCAGAATTGGAGGTGTCTTCCTCCTGGGGTTAAGAGCCAGCTAACAACCACCCAGGTGTTCAGGAGCACATTCGCTGGGCACCAGAGAGATCAGGGGCAAGTTCAGAGCTTCCTGGCTTGTAAGTACCCACTGTGTCTTGGGGTGTGTGTGTGGGGGGGGATTTCCTAACTCTTCAGGGTTGTAAAGCTTGATGAAAAAAACAAAACAAAAAACAAAACAAATGCTCTCATTAATTTAAGAAATAACACATGAAAGAAGAGAGAAATCAAACTTTTTTAAAAAATGCAATATAACTGTTTTTAAAATGCAAGGTAATTTCCATGTATTTATTTATCTCTAAAATGTGGTAGATAAACCAAGCATCTGGAGGAAGGTGCTTCAAAGGTTTTATTAGCTGTTGACTTGGAAGGTGATCATGGTAGGGAAAGGGGAGTATGGTGAGCTGCCTACTGAGGAAAACCAGGCAACACCAGGTTTGTGAGGATGTGCTCCACCCTTTCTCTGTGAGTGCCAGCCCCTCTTGCTAAAAGCAGGGAGGCCTGCTGGTAAGATTTCTTAGAATCTCAGCCTCAGAGGAACCTCTCTAGGGACAACTGACCTCACACTGGGAACTTGATTATGCAGATCCTGGCAGGCCTTGCAGCATCTGGACTACTTACTGAAACAGCTTAGAAAGGGAGTCTCTCTCTTTCATGATCATCTGTGTTTGCTTTTCCCTACCAAGGAAGAGCCAGTGAGGCCCCAGCCCTGGAAGTCCTGAACAGCCTGAATCCTGAGGCTATTCCTCCTCCCTCCAAAACACATTCCGTAACTAACAAGGACCACAAAAACAGCACGGAGAAGAATAAAGAGAAAAACCTAAAATTTTCAATATGCAAAAATGCCTGTTTTGATGGGTGATGTGGTGAACACTGAGTTCACTTAAAAGCCTTATAATGGTTGGGCAGTGAATGTCTTTGCTACAGGAAATAATGTGTTTTGTCTTCCTGGCCTATTCAAGGAGGGATCAGCAAGTATTTTGGGTGTGGAAGAAATGTACTCATAGACTCTTTTGCCTGAATCTGACTCAGTTTTTCCAGTGAAGCAGAAAGGAGGAAACATCACATCCCCAGGTGTGCCTAGCCTTTGACCATTATTGTGAGTCCCCAAGAGTTACCCTAGTCCCTTCCCCAGTACACATTCAGCTTATAGCTTGACTAAAGACGTTTTGTACACGTCTAGGGACATCAGAAGACAGTGGAAGGAGACATGATGAGTCGAGAAGAGGTGGAAGAGGAGGCAATCAGGATTCAGGCAAAAGGAGACTTGGAGATGAAGGAGGAGGAGGAGATCTGTGAGGCTGGAGAGCTTGGTCCGTTTGTGAGTACTGTGCCCACCCCATACCCTACAACAAGGGGATCCAGATTTCTGAGGCATGGAAGTATTTCCACCTGGCCCCTGCTCGTGCTAGTCACCATCCCAACTAGTACACCACCTGCCGCCTGTGTGGCAGGCAGGTGAGCTGTGGTCCTGGGGTTAATGTGGGCACCACCGCTCTTTGGGAGCATCTGAAAAGCATGCACAGGGAGGAGCTGGAGAAGAGTGGCCACTGCCAGGCGGGGCAGCGCCAGGACCCACGGCTCCCAGGGCCCCAGCTCCCGGTGCCCATCGAGGGAGACTGGGGCAGGTTCCCAGAGCAGGCCAGCACCCTAGCTTTGTGGGCCAGCCAGAGGGAAAAAGAGGTGCTTAGGAGGGAGAGGGCAGCGTAGTGGCGGGAGAGGGCTATGGAGAGATGCGAGCACGCCTTGGAGGAGGTAGGAAGGGCCATCCTGGAGATGAAGTTGTTGTGGTGTGACCTAATCAATATAAAACATAGACAAACAATTTAAAGATGTTTGTAGCATGATAATAAGTATGTGTAAAAACCTATAGGTTAACTATAGTCATAAAGAAGCATTAATATAGGTTAAGTTACAGGACAAAGATAGCTGCATAAGACAATTATAAGGTTAAGAATTGTTATAGGATTGTGTAAGTAAAGCATAACCAAAGTGACTCTATTTTACTGCTTCTTTTAAAAAAAAAAAGTCAAAAACCATTACAAGGACTGTTTCTGAGAAGTCGAAACAAAAGTTGTCTTCTTGAAAAAGTTATTTTTCTGTACTTTGTACCCCACAAAATGTGCTCCCTGAAAGGTATGGTGGTCTTAGTGACCTTTATGGCTTTGAAGTAGATTCTTGCCCCCTGCTCAAACCCAAGATGTGGTTGTCCGACTCTGCTCTGCTAACTGTTTTTTACCCAGCTCTGTAGTCTGCTTGCTTGCTACCAGGAAAATTCCATGATATATAATCTTCCCCCTTAAATATTCAAGCCACAGGCCAGTCGGGTGCTTTTCTCCCACAGAGGTTGAGTCTCTTAGGGGAATCAGTCCCTGGCTAGGTAATAAAGCTCCCTTTTGCTTGAATTCAGACTTTGAGTGGTTTCTGAGCGGCTCCCTATAACAAAGTGCAAGGTGTAGGCTGAGAAGAAGGCATGCCAGCGTGGAGAGAAGGACCTGCGATGGCTGCACATCCTTTCCATTTTGTTTAAATCGAGCTTAGGGGAATCTCTTCTGAAAGTACTGACTTCTCCATTTTAGTTCCAGCTCAAACATGAAGCATGGTTTAGTGGCATTTCTGTTTTTAAGAAAAACAGTACATAGTGTGATTCATCTCAACAGGTCTGAGTGGACCAAATGCCTATCTACAGGGTTCCTAGTGTTTGCTGACCCTTGGCAAAACCCTCAAAATGTATTAACTAAAGATAAAAGTAGTTTTGGGACCATGTACTTGTGAGTTGTTTCAGGGCAGGATGTAGTAGACATTGTTTAGTAAAAATAACTGGATTTATTCCCTGTACTTGTTTTCAGTGGAGCAAAGTTGGGGCAGTTGAGGCTGGGCAGGGAACTGGAAAGTCCATCTGAGCAGCTCACCTCAGAGACTGTAGGAGAGCAAAGCCAGACTCCCTGGAAGGGGGCTGTTTGCACACATCCTGTTGGTGACTTTAAAGCTGATTCTGTGTGATCCCCAGTGGAAAGGCAAAGGCTCAAGCCAAAGCCCTCTTGACACTTGCAGTGCATCTTTTTCTCCAGTGGTTATGTGTTTTGCCATCTGCTTAGAATAAAGCTGCTTCATTAGTATTACCTGTCAGCTTCCTGTGAGTTTTTTCCCAACAATTTGACACTTCAACTAATTAATCTGTAATTAGCACAGAGAAAAGCAAACACTTTTCAATTCAATTGGTTGAAGCAAAATAAAGAATATAAAAGTTTACTCCCAAATATTTTTTAAAAATAATCTAAAGTCATATTAAGACCTATTAATGGAGGAGGGGTTACTGAAGAAGAGACAAAAGAACCTCAGAAAGAAGATGGAGTAAGAAAGGAGACATAAAGAACAGTCATAAGAAAAGAAAAGGGACCCAGAAGAAATGTGAAGATGGGAAAGACAGACCTTACCATATAAAGAGAAAAGAAATCACAATTGTCTCGTCCAGTGAAGGACAGAGAATATTTTCTTAAATCCCAAGGTCAACTTCAGTAAGTTGCTTTTGTTCTGTGCCCACAGATCAGTCATTCATTCAATAAGTAGGTTTTAGATTTTATTTGTATCTCTGAAATACCAACTACAGGGCAATCTATTGTTCTCTGATTTTAAGAATGACTATCCCTCTTTGAATGTTCAGAGATACTTTTTAAAAAGGGAGCCTGACAGTCCATAGGGAAAGAAAAATCTCCTTCATTCTTAAGGATATTAAATGTTAACTGAATAAAATCAAACTGGAGACCACTCTGGGCTTTGCACTGGAGTTGACTTTTGTTTTGGAAAATTCCTCTAGCACTTTTTCTTTTAAATGTGTGGGAGTGGAGACTGAGAGAACCAGACAAGACAAGACGAGATGAAGACAGGGTCCCACTATCTCACTGATACACCAAGTATCCAATGGGCACCAAACTCCTTGAAAGTTAATGAGATGCTGGTATAAAAATGGGCTGTTCCTCCTGCAGTCCTCACCTACCAGGCTCACTCCTCCTGCTTTCTAGACTTGTTGGAAGTCTAGCAGTGAGACCTGTCTCCCCTGTGAGCTCTTTGTGGAACAAACAGAAGTCCAAACACCAGCCTTGAGAAAAACCCAGGCTATACTGCAGTCCTATAATTCTCTTTCTAGAAAACTGCTGTGATTAAAGGATTTCACTTCCCCTGTGCTTTCCCCACGAGGGCACAGTGCCCCCTTTAAGGCCTTCCTCTTCTGTGCTCAAAGTTTAGGTGCTCACCAAGGCAAATGGTGATGGCTTCTGGGAGTCATGACCCTGACATTTGAAGTCAGAGCATTTTTAGTGCCACAAAATATGCCCAACAAAAAGAGGCTGTCATACTTAACCTCTTAAAAACAAAATCCAAAATCATACATTTGGAATGAGATTTAAGAAAATCAAGGAATCTACAGGGGTTCAAGCTTTGCAAAACTAAACACACACAAAATGCTAGCCAGTCGTGTTAATGTCTTCTTCTAACCACAGCACAGTTTTTAAATTTGTGGTGTTGATAGGCAAGTGGCATGAGGTTAAGGGGATACTATGTACTGGGTGCATTGTGTTGACCCCTACAAAAGCAATTTACCTGAAGCCCTACCCAGCTTAGGTCAATGGGCTCTGTTATATTCCTCAGCAAACAACCTGTCATCTTCAGGAGGAATGCAACCCTTAAAATGCTGATAAGAAGAACATAAGTTACCCTGGATGTGTGTGTATGCGGGACGGGTGGCGCTTTTATGACCCTTACACAGAACAGATCCCAAAACTCAGGGAGATATGATAATTAGAACTGGTCAGCATGGTCCAAAGTGACCTTGAGTTGCCTTGGACCTTAATTGTGCACAGTGTAGACTTAAAAGTGTGCTGTCATCCTGCTATCAGTCAAAAGGACAAGGGGTGAATCTAGGAAACTTCCCCAGGACCCAAAAAGACTGGAAGGCAAGAGGAGTGTGTCTTTCTTCTCTCTGAGAAGAGCCACTCTCTTCTTTGAGAGAGTCCTCTTTTCCCTTTTCTTATCCCTTCTGATAAACTCATGTCTGTTACTCTGAATGACATGTCTGAAATCTTCCTGGCATGATCACAAGAACTAGTGAGAAAGGATCCCTGTGGCTGCCTCAGCTTTGACAGGCTCAGCCCTGCAACAGCGTCTGTTTTTCATGGTTCTTATTATTGTAGATTCTTTTCCTCTTTAGGCAACATAACTTCAGACTGTTTTTGTTTCCTATGTTTCATGCTAGATAGCTTTCCTTTAGATGTTTTCCCCTAAATTTTGCCAAGCAAAATAAATGTAGGGAGTGACAAGGACAGGACCTAGGGAGATGATTGGATTAGAATATAAAGCAAGAGATGCATTGTGGTTTTGGAAAGCCTGAACTGTTAAATAAAGTGGGGTTTTATGTGTCTCTCTTGTGTCTTCTTATGCTCCATCAGCAGCTGTGTGCTGTGGGGCTCTTTGGCCCAGCATCTTTTGCTCTAATGCAAAAATCTGCTACATGGGGTTTGCAGGGGCTGAGGTTTGGATAAGAGATTCCCTTCTCATTGCAGCTGCAGGAGCATAGCTGTGTGTTGTGTGGGAGTCCTGGTGAGAGAGTGGCCTCAGGAATGCACCAGGACAACCTGTCCTCAGGTGTGACACTTTCCTGGGATGTTGCTGGCATGTCCCTGTCTGAGAAAGTGTCTTTGTTAGGCTAATTTTGTGTCTTATCTATTTTAAAAGAAAAATTAAATTATTCATAAACTTTATAAGTTTAACTAAAACCATGGGAACTCAGCTCACAACTGATCAAGTCCCCAGCCTAGTCTGAAACTGGTCAGCATGGTCCAAAATGACCCTGAAGTTTCCTAGATTCACCCCTTGTCCTTTTGACTGATAGCAGGATTACAGCATACTTTTAAGTCTCCACTGTGCACAAATGTTGCTTGAGCAATGAAGATGTAGGACAGACTACACATCTTCATACGTGTGGATGTGATTAATTTCCAGAGAATGTAAGGGTTAGGAGATTACCGATACTGAATACTTGTGCTCTCCAGATGTAGATGCTTTGCATACGTTCTTTCGTTTGATCCTTCTATCACCCTTGTGAGGTTGGACTCATTGCCCCATTCACTGATGAGGAAGCTAAAGAACCCAGGTCCCAGAGACCCAAGTTAATAAGTGATAAAAGAGAATTCAGGCTTAGTTCTACCAGATCCCACAATCTATGTTCTGTTTCATTATTATTATTATCATCCCACACCATATCCTACATTCAGTCACATAATGGATTTATGAATCAATATTTACAAATGCAGAGGAAGGAATTGGTGAAAGTGTGGGTGAATGATAATAGGCAAAAACATATTCCTGAGACATCTATGTGCCATGTACTCCAGAACTGTGTATGAGTTTAATTATACTAAGAACCCTATGAAGTATTTCTTATTATTTCAATTTAGAGATTAATAAGCTGAGGCTCATGGAGGTTATCTAGTAGGTGATTGAATTAGGACTTGACTTTAGTGCTATTTGACCACATGATCTCCTCTTATCAGCCTCCCTAGATGTGGTTAGCTCTGCCCCTTATGAATGACTTAGCTAGATGTTAGGCTTTCCAGGCCCTAATTTCTCATCTGTGAAATGACAGATGCTCAACCTATATCAGAGCACATGGAAAGCATCACGAGATAAAAGTATGTGAAAGGGCTTTGAAGAGTTAATAAGTTATTAAGGACACAGCAGTGATTATAAGAATATTAGCGTGAGGAACTACTAATGTTTGGCAAGACCTTAAAAGAGCCACAGACAAGCCATGTCCTGCAGCTGGTTATACGGAGTTGGAGAGAGATTATTCACTAATTCCCCAGGAAAGAAATTTCTCTAGTTTTCCTAGATTTAAGTGAAGCAATGGTATAGAAGAGGAAATTTTATAACATGTGGCCTGTAAGCCATAGTCATTTTTTTTATAATGGATTCTTGGATTCAATTTATGATTTTATGTCTTGAGCTTATATTACTTGTAAACATTGACACCAAGAATCTATAACAGATCCTTGTAAGAAAGATACCTACCAAAATCTGTAATCTAATTAGATTATTTGCTGTATTTAAACTATCGAAATGAAGTCCACTAATAAATTTGGGAATTAATTAAAGCAGAAAATGATTAAACCCTTTTCAATATACTCAGGATTACAGAAGAAGTTATTTCAGAGGTTAATACATGAAATTGGCGAGAGACTTAGATACTTAGGTAATACATTATGTATGGTCATCCAAAAACATCCTACAAAGTCAGTTATGATTTGTATGTAGCTGTCAAATTAAATGGCTGATATTCAGCAGGACCACAAATCATGTTATTTAATGTTCTCAGGGTGAGAAGAAATTAGAATATCAGTAGAATTTTCTCTCACACCATGTAACAGCAGATGTTTGAGAATTAATAAGAGCACTTATTTTACCTGAGGATTTGAAAAGCATGGTTGAAATCATAAGGTCACAAGACAGCTACTTAAAGCAGATATTACTAATAAC